CCGGCTCGGGGGCAGCCGCCTTGCCCTGCTGCTGCTTGGGCGCCGGCTCGGGGGCAGCCGCCTTGCCCTGCTGCTGCTTGGGTGTGGCCTCCGTCACCTTGGCCTGCTGCTTGGGTGGCTCAGAGGCAGCCGCCTTGCCCTCCTGAGTTGTTTCAGCTATTTTTGTGGCCTCAGAAGCTTTCTGCTGAGGTGCCTCAGCAACTGTGGGTGTTGCCTTCTTGGGTGCCTCTGCAGCCTTCTGTTTGGCCTTTTTAGTGGTCTCAGGAGCTGTTTTAGGTGCCTCAGTGGCCATGGGTTTGGCCTGTTTGGGTACCTCAGCAGCTGTTTCTTTAGGATCAATCTGCTCAGCTTTCTGGTGTACTGCATCAGCCAGTGCAGACTTTACACCTGCTTTTGGCTTAGTATCTTGTGAAACTTTACCATCCTTAGCCTGTTTAGTAGCCATATTGGAGATCACTTTAGTCTCATCTGTTGGCTTGGCAGCCCCACCAGCAGGTTTGTCCTGGCCAGTCTTGCCAGCAGCAGACTTCTTGAGCTCTTTAGCTACAGACTTTACTGGGACTGCTGCCATAGGAGCTTCAATGGGCAAAGGCTTGGGTTCAGTACTTGTCTTGGCTTTAGTGACTTCTGCTTGACCAGAAGATCCACCTTGAGGTTTTTGCTCAGGAGGAGACCCAGCAGGTTTTCCAGTCTCTTTGGCAACAGGAGGTGCAGAGACAGGCTCTTTAACAGGCTTCTGAGGTGGAATAAGTGGAGGGAGCTCATCATCAACTGTAAGAGGTGGTTGTTTTGAGAAACCTGATTTTGGGGGGCTTGAAGCAATAGTATCTGAAAAGGAAATTGGGGCTGCAGCAGCAGGCTTTGGAGTGACTTTGAATGCAGGAGGTGCCTGAGATTTTTTTTCAACTGGTAGCACTTTAGCTTCAGAAGCCACAGACTCCTTCGGCTTTTCCTTTACTTCAGTAACCTTATGTTCTACCTGGACAGGAGCAGGCTCAAAGGACTCTCCTTTCTTAGCCTTTCCTTGTTTGCCAGCCTTAACCACTTTTGGAGTGGGACGATTAGCAGGAGAGCTGGCAGTAGATAAGGCAAGAGGGGACACCACAGGTGACCGAGGAGTAGAAGAGGGAGTAGATTTAGGTGAAGTAGGTGAGGAAGAAGAAGCAGACATAGAGGAACGTTTTCTTCTGCCAGGTACAGCCTTTGGGGCAGAAGAACCCTGCCCACTCTTGGCATCTTTGCCTTTGGCTACCTGAGGGTGCTTGGTGGAAGCTTGGACAGGAGGTGGAGCTGAACGGGGAAAAAAATTCTTTTAAAATTCTATCCCAGTTCAAGCTGTGACATGCGGGTTGGACACTCAAAACAAAGGCACGCATCGTGCGTAGGTTAGGAAAAAGGGCAAACTTCCTTTAACTTTCATATGCAAACTGACAAAATGCAAACCACAGGTTTACACAAAAACAGTCTTAATCTTATCAGACAACATATCTGTAAGATGTTGCTTAACACGCAAATATATTACCAATAAGGATCCTCAAATATCCGGTAAATAACATAATCTTGCAAATGGGTAAAGACTTCTGATTGGTAATTAAAATGTAGGGTTCCAATGATAATTGACAAAAAAACAAACATCAGAAATAATTTAGTTGGTCATTCTTTGCTGCCACTTTGACCAAGACTAAAACTAGATATTGTTTTACGCTTGTAGTCTAATTAATATGGAAATTCCTTCAACCTAAACTTCTTAAATCTTTTCCACCACATTACCAAATAAAGATCGGTGACTGACCACTTGCTGCCGCTTCTGGTGAGTCTGTGGTCTGACCTGCTCAGCCAGTCTGACACAGCTAATGATACAATAGTTTCACACAAAGCGCTACACCTATGAGGCATTAGAAGCATAATTCCTTGAATTGACCCATTAAAAGTATGACTAGGAGCACATCTAGTTCAAATGTTCCTATATTTCCATCACCCCCTTTATAAAACTTTGGTAGAAAAGTTTACTTAAGGCTTTAGAGTCACATCTGCTAGCCGGCTAGCTCCAGGCATACCGTTTATAAACAGATCTGAGTGAACCTTAATTTTCAAACGTTTGACAGAGATTTCTAACAACTTTGCATTTTTGTTTTAGTTTTTTCTATTGAAATAGGCAGTTTGTAAGAATTAGTAGATTTCCATGTTTCCAGTTTCTTGGCTTGGGATTTGACTTGACAGAATTAAATAGAACTGGAAATAAAAACCACTAAAACATGTTTTAATGACTTAAAAATGGTGTTTACAAACTGTACAATGAATAGCTATAACAATGGTTTGTATCCCCTTATTGGAGAAATTTACTCAAACCAAACTGGAAATACTTTAAATAGTATTCTATTTTTGTAGGGATTTGAATGGGTAATGAACTTGGTATGAGTAAACCAAAAAAAAAAAAAAAAAAAAAAAAAACATAAGTGACTTTGCAGTTCAATTTGTGCCACAATTCATAAGCTAAATATATAGTGCAATAGAAGGTACCCTGAAAATATGATAAACCGCTCTATTATTTAATGATTTGCCCAAACTATAAGAAAAGACAAAAAAAAAGAAACACAGGCTTGGTTCTCATGGAGGATAAACCAACCTGAGGGATGACAGGTGGAAACTGGTGGGATTTCATATTTATCATGAAGGAAGGTAGGTGTGTTATCACAAGTTTCTTCCAGGCCTGCATCAGGATACTTTGCATTTCCACCTGCTTGTTTGCATGGATTCATTAAACCATCAAGAGGGGTCTGGTGTAAAGCACTCATCCCATCTTCCTGTACCACATCCACATCTGACTCTTCTCCAGATGCCTTCGAGTGGACAGAATCAAAAGTGGGCTTTTGTGTGGATAATCCTTCAGCCATAACAAAGGGGTCACCTCGCTGGTCTCTAGCAGTAGCCACGTGGGGCCTCGAGAAAGCTATAGGGTCAAATTCTTCTTGAGCTGCTGGACCAGCTGACCCTTCCTCCACAGCAGCTGTTGCATGTGTGCCGCCCACTTCTTGGTCTCCAGCTATACAGTTAGCTTGATCACAGAAAACCGGAGTGGGAGTTTCTTCTTCAAACCCCATTTCCTGGGCAGGTACAGTGGCTTGAGGAGTATTTTGACTCAGTGTGGAAGGAAGAGGAGCATTCAAAACTCCAGCAGCTGACAGAGGAAGAGCAAGAGCAAGACATATGACAGGAGGTACAAGAGCTAACTTAAGGACTAATAAAAGCACAGCGGCCAAATGTGCTTTACAGGGAATATAGAGGAGAGTGTAAAACTAGAGGATGTGATCAAATGGTGATTGTGTTCTGAACTCCATGCAGTTTAGCCGTGATGACAGTTTAGGCTTTTTTGTGTGTATATGGGGGGGGCGGCGGCAGACACAACCAAATATTACAGATCGTTGACTTGAACTATGTGCCACTTGTGTGAAAACAAAGGTTTGATGTGGCCTGAAATCAACATGAGCTTGCAACAGTTCTGTGCAGTCATGTTATTCTATGAAACTACAGTAAAAAAAAAAACTGGTGAGGATTCCTGTCATATCACTTTGATGGGGGAAAAAAAAATGTTTTTGTTTTTTTTACAAGCTGGATGCATGGTTTAACAAAATGTTAGGTTAAGGTTAATTCATATTTTCACACAGACACTACTGTAGGTGTGGTTTTGCAAAGCATTATGGGTAAGGTGTGACTGTATTTTTGATAAAAGTACAATTGGGATTGTATACACACCCAGTGATCTGTTCTCTTGGTAAACATATTCTAAATCAAATTGCAGGAGTAATATCACAGTCAAGGACATGTTTACTTGTCAGAAAGCATAGGTCGATCCATAACACTAAAAAGAAGAACTTAAGCTCTACCTATTCCAAATTCATACTAAATAAAGTTTATCTAAACATCAAAACCACACACCAAATTCTGTTAGTGCAACAGACAGGGTCACTAAAGTAGACATTAGTGGTCATGTGCAACCACACAAACACACTCAACATGCACTGTGTGCAAAATCCAGTCAGCCAGTCAATGTGATCACACTCCATTGTGACTTTGAGTGAAAGAGGGGTCCTGGATTACAATGGTAAACATTAAACCACCACTTCTAACACCCAAATGGACGAATAGGCTAGCAGATCTCATTTTACATGAGCTGTAAAGGTATAAGAATCACATTAGAAATCAATAGTCTATTCCCTAAAACAATCAAGAACCAAAACAAACTTCTCAATACGATTAACATCCACTTGCTGACAGATGGCTAACCTGTGTAAGATCCAACACCCCGCTTCACAATATGCAGAACAAAAGCGTGCGAAACTGAGTAGTCAAGCTATACAAACCAGTCTCCGCTTGAGGCTGCTGCATCTCCTGCTCGGTGACTGGGACTGTTTCTGTTGCTTCGCCAGGCATGGTCGCTGGTAATGACAATCAAACACAAACATTGGTTCATTTCTCAGCGATCTGAAACCATTCGATACACAGCAGTCAAAATAGATCGACTGGACAGGTGCCGGAGCTCATGCTTTAGCTCTCTATCTAAACTGTAAAACATCGAGAATGTCGTTAGCTAGAGTGTTAGCCAGACGCTAATACCGCTAGCATTGGTAATTACACATATTTCCTGACAGTTATGCGCGTTTCGTGACAAACCAGGTGGTTGTCACCATCTTTAAACTAATATATCGGGCTAAAATGATTCCTGCGGCCCTGACAGACTGCCAGCGGTCTGTTTTACATCATGCTCCCCCATTTTGAACCGGTAGCCCGCGCAAACAACAGCAGAATTCCCTTAGAATGATACTTTTTAAAGAGTAATACTTGGAACTGTCTAATAGCCGCACTTTTACCATACAGATAAAACCCACCGCAGGGGTTGAATACGGCGGAAAAAGGGTGGATGTAGACGGATTGTTAGCGGAGAAACTCACCGACTCTGGACGCTATTTCCAAGATGGCTGTGAGAGAGGAAGTGCTGACCTCAGGTTGGTGACAATATCCGGTGGAGAGCAGGCTTCTACTTCCGGGTCAGCTACAGCAACAAATAAATATCTACACCCTCTATTATTTATAATCCTTTTATTTGTGTACTATGGAATAAACATATATCAATATATATTTTTCTTAACTTAACACTATTTACTAATAAATAAATAAAAAACTTACTACCAAGTCCTGTTGTTTTTTTTATAAGGGCGGCCTGTTTTCTGCCATAGTCTGACTTAATGCTCAGAATAGGGCACCTATTAACTATTAATAAATTGAAATAAAATTAAACTTTGATTTTTTTTTTTCTTTCTTGAATTAACACTCAGTGAAATACTTTCAAAATCAAAATTTCAAGCCAATAGTATTATTAGAGGATAGGACAATCCCTTATTACTTTTGTAACATTCAATAAATGTTTTAATGGCAAAATTGAAGGTCAATGTAATAGGAAATGGTCACTTGGTCGAAGGTTATGCTTAGACCATTAATGCTGATACAGACACTTAATTTTTTACTTAAAAAAAAAAATGGCTACTGAACTTTTTTTCAACTAATTAACAGTAGGTAATGTATCACTCAAGGGTTAATCTACATTGTCAAATGCGAAAAAAAATATGTACAGCCATGTATCTTTGCTGATTGGCTAGATATAAATCTTGTGCTTGTAGACCTCACTGATGGATGGCGGGGGACTCAGTTTGTGGGGTTTAAAAACAGTAACTTCCCCTATAAAGGGTTAATGAGTCCGTCAAACAAAGTACATGCAAAGTGCGACTCCCATCTATTAATATACTTTGTCATGAATTGCCACTAACCAATAGCCTAGTAAACTAGCTCCACCAGCCAGCGGCCAAAATAATTTTTCCCTGCAAGTTTAAATTACACATTAAATCTCACATTAAGACTGTTTTTTCAGGCTAACTAACCAAAGTAATTTCTACCAATAGCAGTAATTGATCTTGTTATTGATGTTTGATGGCCATAAGATTTTGTACAATTTTATAGTCAGATTAAAAATACATTAAGGATGGGAATATAGAAACTGTTTAAAGATGAGAGCAGCAATACACTTAAAAACCTCAAGGTTTACAAAGAGATGTAATGTATTTATTTGCACTGCACAGCAGCAGATTGCTGCCAAAAGACAAATATTTTCAGCAATAAAATCAGCTTTAATTAGTTTAACACACAAATGTAACATGAATGAATAAAGAGCATGGCTCAGTCAGTAGGTATTGTCAACAATGAACAATCTCCACAAAATGAACCGTAAGTAGGAATCATCATTTACTTCAAGGAATAAGACAGGAACTGTGATTTCATGTGTTTTCTGATTGATGACCCTGTTCAGAACTCTTTCTGAAGATCTGGGGAAAAGTAAAAAAGAGAGAAAAACATCAAAAATTCATAAAAAATTTTAAGACCTTAAACTGTGCTTTATTGTTTGTAAACTCACCACTCTTTCTGAGAAGTTCTCCTTTCCATGATTGAGCCATTCCATCCAGAAACTGATCAAAGCACTTCACGTACTTTGCCAAACTGGTTCTCTTGTAATCTTTTGGGAGAAGCAAGACAGAACGTCAATCTACGGGCTTAAACCAGGCAGAGACCTTTAAAGCAGCTTTACATTGGTCTTTATTTTTAAATCTGAAATATTTATTTTAAAGAGGAAGTCTGCAAATTGTCCAGATGTAAGGTCCTTCCCTTCTGTAGATCTATAACCTAAATTCTACATTAAAGGAGTGGCAGTAATGACAAATGTATTGTTTATATTTCTAAGAACTGCTAGCATAATCACCGAAAATAATGTGTTTTAAATGGTCAATGCTTACTTCAATTTAAATTACCCCAATGCTGCATGATTAAAAAATAGAAATTAAAATAAGTAAAAACAGCAGCTAGATTTATATATTGAATATATAATCAATTTCCCCCTTTTTCACCTCTGTTCTTCCTCTTCTCTGTCACGCCATTTTCATTTTCCTTCTCCTTTGTGTCGCCTGACTTTTTATCTTCATCATCTGCCTTGGGTCGATCCAACTCTTCACATATGAGGCTTAAAAATAAAGAACAAAAACAATGAAAGTAACCCAAGCAGCACATGCTACAGTGCATCACTTCCCTATATCACTTACCTGATTGTGGGAACAGCAAAAGGATCAAACTTGTCCAAATCTTTAAGCTCCATGGGGACAGAGATGCGCCCTGGCCAGGTGGAGAAGTGGCGTTACAGAAAACCTTTCCTCGTAATAACAAGTGATCTATGTGAGAATATGTGAGGTTGACCGACCTGTTTTAGGATGAACACTGAATGGACTCTTCAGTAAATGGTTAACACCTTTACTGACGTTGACGTCGAGTCGAGGGTAGCAGTACTGCAGCATGATCTCCTTTTCAAAGTGTTGCCCCTTTTTGGCAGTGGCCTGGAGGAGAAAACATCCACAGTGTGTTTGGTTATAATGAATAAAAACCAAAACAAAACAAAAAGAGCTGGGAGGTTGAACACTTAAGGACAAACAATTGTTTGTTATCTTGGAGCCCTTTAGTATACACTAATTAACAATGAAATAATTACCACCTACCAGTATAGGATTCCTAAAGGTATGAGGAACTTTTATATAAAAAATAAATAAATATATAACAGATCTATTAATTCTACTGCTGCTGAAACCACCATTTATCCATTTATATTTTGATGATTTGCTAAGCAACACGTTTTCTAGCTTCAGTTTTTTTTTTTTTTTTTACTTTAGCCATCATCCATTCTTGCACCATGCTTTTTTGCTCCAACAATCGGTTGTCATAATGGTTTCTCATGTAGTGCCACTAGAAGCTTATAACAGACACTTTAAAAAAAATATAAAATAAAGGTGAATCTATTTGCCTCAGAGAGAGATTCCTTTGAGCTCAGGGAGCAAAATAAAATTCATTTATACAGTTTAATAATTTCAAAACGTCCATTCACATCCTTCTCAACTTTTCTGGAAGCAGGTTTTGTTCCAGACAACAACAACTAACCTGTTTCTTCTTGGCTTGGTCTTTGATCTGACTCCAGCGTTGCTCTGGCCTCCTCTCATTCTGAAATAACTGCTGTAATTCCCTTCTAACATGTAAGCGAGTCAATCAAGGTCAAATCGTTCTCCCATTTTGCTCTAATTCTAAACCCAATATAAACGGCACATAAAAATGCCTGTTATATTAAAGGATTAATCAAAGCCATTATAGGGAGACAGAAAAGGATATCTTCAGGTACAAGAGCCAGGATTTTGTCTACAGACTCCTTCCGTCCCAGTATGTCTTGATCGTGAAGAGCATATTGAGGAAAGTATTGCTTCACCACTCCTAGAGATTCTCTGTTCAGATCACAAACGCAGACTTTTAAACAGAACTGAACAATGAGAGACACAGTTAGAGCAGGGACTAATATAAATACATTTACCTGATGAAAGGGTGAATAGGATCAGTCAGAATAACTTTCTTCACCATCTCTTCACCCCCCTGCAAAACAGTGATTCAAGAATCCTGACCCAGTATCTACATGTTCACAGTAATCCTTCAATGTAAGGATGGACCAGTTATGATTTTAGAAGAATTTATGATCACTAGTGTCCTAAAACCTTACAAGCAATGGCATTCAGTGTTTTTAGCGGAATTAAACAAGAGCTGCTTCAAGCACAAGGGAAATGAGAAATGGTAAACACATCTCCATCAGTATTTATAGTTAAAATTCACATCGTTTTATGCCAGTATTTGGTATTTTAAACAGAAATGTCCAAAAGTCTCCATCCATCATCAAACTAATTTATAAGGCATGGATCGAATTCATGATGTATGTATAACATGCATTTCAAAGCAACAATACCTTCATCAAATTGATAAATTTTACAAAAATAACTTCTACAGAATAGCTAGAGTGTTCCACAATAAAGGTATTATTTCTATCAAAAAAAGAAAAAAAGTATATAAATAATTGTTTTTAATTGTTTGACGGGACCAAAATACATTTTTACTTCTGGTTACAATACTAGTGTTAACACTAAAGGATTTGTAGCACGCCGTGCGCCGGGTTTTCCCTAAGCCTGTGTTTGTTTTCTCCAGGTACTCCGACTTCCACCCACAGTCCAAATACATTTTATTTTATTATTTCCTGATATAGTCAGATTTTTGTCATAGATGAGGATCTTATTAAACAATGATCGGCACTTTTTCACTGAGAATGAAATATTTATAGGGAGAGGATTCTACAACTCAACTGACAGGGCATGAGATTTATTTGTTTTTGGTTTGTTTAATATGAGCGAGATTCTGATGAATTTATTTAGTTATATTTACAGTACATGAAGAACTACTGAAATTATTTTCAGATTACACATAAATAGATTAATCAATTCCGCGGGGGGAAAGGAATTACTTTAGGATTAGGATTCACTCAATGATAACCTGATGAGCCTACTGGCACAATCTGAAGCCATTCTATGGGACTGATAGCCGCTTATAACGGCCATTTACTGGGATGATAGAAGAAGACTGAATCAACACGAGGGACACATGAGGTGATCCACAGGTTCAATATATTATAACGTTTTTATTCTTCATTTTCACCTGCTACTAGAAGATTTCCCCAAAATAGACACATTGATCTACTACCATTCAAGAAATAATCCTGTAATATTTCCAGGCAACAACACCTCTACGGCAAGTTGTTTTGATATTTAATAGTTTTAATGAGTTTGTATTCCTGATATCTGAAAGAAAAATTTTTTCTTTGTCTAAATGACCATTTCCAACAAAATGACATCCTCCACATCTAGAATAAACATTCTGGATGTATAGAAATCTATTTCAGATCCCCATATTCCTAATATTACTGGTCGGCATTTCTATTATTTTAACTACAAAAAAACTTTTTTTAGACATACATTTTCAGTCAAGCTGATAAATGTCAGAACAGCCACTTAAAATGTGTAAACATTTCTAGATATATAAAACTTAAAGGGAAATGCCGTTTTTTTTACATTTGGCCCTTAATTTTTCGTTATTACATCATGTCCTACTCACCCATATGAGTTTTGTGTCATTTGGAGCTGTTCTGAAGATATTCCAATAGGTTATATCCAGGTAACGTCTTCCTATGAGCAATCGACTTGAAGGCACAAACTAAACTGTTCATAATTTATTCTTTATAGTACGCCAGCATTCATAACATGTAGATGAACCACTGTCCCCCAGACATCTGGGGTTATATTTTTTATACTTATATTTTTTTAAAACAAAAGCGGAGTGTGTATGACGTCATCAAAAGCTGTCCTCTTTGATTGATAAATATTAAGCACTGATTGAGTAGAGGCTGCTTCCAGACAAAACTGTACTTATTTCACTCGACAATGTCATGTCTGACATTAAACAGCAGCGAAGTGATGTGCCTTAAAAAAATGTGTTGTTGGTATAAATGCAGTTATTTAACTCCTCTTGAGAAGCATTTAATGACACCCAATAAACCTGCTCTTTACCCATTTATTGTGCAGCCTCATGTGCCTTGAATATTTTTTTAATTGTAAATTTGCTCTACATTATAAAGTTATATTTGAAGGAAAGTGAAATCGCATTACCTTAATCAGACTGAGATATTCTGCAACAGCAGACCGTGCTGCTGCAGAGAGCTTCCGGGCAGCTTCATCACACACCCAGCAATGCACTCCTCTTCTTCCAGAGTACACCCACAGCAAGTGCTGGAAACCAAAGTCCTCTGCAGAGAGCACAAAAAAACCCAAAAGAAAATCTACCTTCAGCTGATTGTGATAGAAATTAACACAAAAACTGGGCTGAAATTATATGAGCAGTGAACCTCGAAGAGCTCTGTCCAAAATACGGATGGCGATGGTCATCAGTGTCCAGCACTTTGAACAAATATCTGCAGCACTAAAACAAATTTAAGGACAATCATCCATCATTCATTTGATCAAGTAAATTCCAAACTACAGCATACAGAAAACAAGTTGCATGATTTGTTTTACCTGCAGCAGCTTCGAACGTCATCATAATCCGTCATATCGATATCAAACACCAGCTCCTTCTCCAGAGCCTGGAAGCTGCCGGACTTCACTGTGTTGTGCTGACTCGGCTGTAGACAACAAACACAAATGTTTTGGTTTTTTTTTGTTTTTTTTTACATCTGTACAATAGATGAACGGAGTGAGGCATGAGTCAGACTGAGAGGGGTTACCCTGTGACTGTACACTGCTCCAATGTCGATCTTATATGGGTTCATTTTCTGCATTTCCTTCTCCAGCTCGCTCTGTGTGCTGAACGACTGGTAGCGCACATAGATGTCATCCTTGAGTGTGAAGGAGAACTCACGGTTCTGAAAGTAGTTTTTCTGCACTGTGGATGGAGAAAAAAAATATATTTAAGCATCAGCTTTTAATACTGGCAGCTCTTTGATTTAGGATAAAGTGGTAAACAAAACAAACCATAAGTTTCAACAGGGGTTTCAATAAAACATTTAAAATCTGTTTAAAGATCACAGCTACAAAGCTTTCATCAGAATGGTTCATTGTTCAAATATTATATATGGACATAACGCCAAGAGTGGTGCAAAATGAAAACAATAACTTATCCTAAAATGTATGTATGTATATTATATATATAGCATATAAAATAACTATTTTACAAATATGGACTCAAATATCTAGGTATTTACTTCTTGGCCTAACTTTACTTGTGGAACCAATTACCAGTTTTAGTCCGTGAGGCAGACACCCTGTCTACTTTTAAGGCTAGGCTTAAAACTTTCCTTTTTGATAAAGCTTATAGTTAGAGTGGCTCAGGTTATCCTGAGCTACCTCTATAGTTACGCTGCTATAGGCTTAGATTTCTGGAGGACATAGGGGCTGCTATTTTCACATTCTGCTTCATTCTATTTCTATTCTCCCACTCTGCAGAATCTGTTAGTTCAATCTCTAACGTTATGCTCTCTCTGCTTTTTCTCATAGTAGCCTCATCTGTTCCTGTTTGGCTGTGACGCCATCCTGGAGAGAAATATCAGCTGTGCTGCTGCCATCAACACCCTTTTTTATAGATGCTGGGGATCGGCCAGTGTAGTTTTGTATCTCTGACCGTGACTGGCTGGATGTGCTCTCTTCATCCTCTGACATCGGAGCTGGCTCGGTGCTCGTCTGCCTGGCTGTGTGTTTCCTGGATGGCGCCTTTTACAGTTGCTTTTTTTTTTTTTTTTTTTTTAATCTATTCTTCTGTCTCCTTGAGCCCCAGTCAGCCTCAGCAGATGGTCGCTCACACAGAGCCTAGTTCTGCTGGAGGTTGTTAAAAGGGAGTTTTCCCTCTCGACTTTCCCTACAAGCATGCTTAGTGCCAGGGATTGCATCTGAGTCAATGAGTCGATGCAATCAGCTGGTTATCCTTAGATAGAAAACTTTGAATCAGTTTACTGTATGATCTGGTGAACTGTAAAGTGCCTTGAGATTACCTTTTTTGTAAATCGGCGCTATATAAATAAACTGAATTGAATTATTTGTATAATGCCAACATAAACAAAGGGATTCTGCACTAAAAGGAATATTAGGTTTATAGAGGCATCCCCTATTATGAACCTTAAAAACAAAACCGAAATACTCTTTAAAAGACAGAAGTAACTTTATACTTAGATGGAATGCTTGATGATAAAATGTACCCACAAAAATGATCAACTTTATATAATCGGTTTGGGTTAATGCAAACCCTTTTTTAACGATACAATATACCGAAAGGAACCCATGGTTTCCATGTCAATATCCAGATCATACATAGCTTACCTGCTTCCATTTTAGACAGGTTGTGTTATAAACAGTTATAAGGTTGTGTTTTGTTTTTTTGTTTTTTTTCAAGTACTGATGATTCTTCTGATTACTTAAGAAACTGAACAGAGGACCTAATTCCCTGCAGAAAACATTTCGAGCTACTTCATTCAAGTCTCCCTGAGTCCCCCACCTTCCTAGCCCGAAGATCTGCTCCTTTTCCCGGCCTGTTGGAGGACACTTACCTCCCCCGTAGCTGAGCCAGCGGTAATACTGTGCAAAGGGGAACAGGCGGCGGTAGTAGAGGGGCAATAAGTCTGGCAAACACGCTGGATCATAGTCCGAGGGCATTTTATCAAAAACAGCTTAGACTTTATCTGAAATAAAACCCAAGCTGGTGGTGTCAGTTCAGTTTAGCAAGAACAGCGCGGGAAAAACTCACAAATAAGACAGGACCAACGATGCAAGGTCGTGACGGTGACGTCACCGGAACTAGGAAGTGTGCTGTGAGCTACAAAGATTTTCTAATGGCTTTCTTCATGTATATATTCATTTTGATTAATAATGATTAATTAACTGAATATTTTAGAAACATTTCGGGTATCCAGGAAGGCGTATCCATTGACTTAAATTTTTTTTTCAAACCGACCCGACTGCTACCTGGTGCGCTCCATTTGTAGTATCGGTACACTCGCTGAACGCGCGCGGGCCCACCATTCTATTGTAAAAGAGGTTATTGGTGTGTAACAGCATCCAAATGATGCGGACCTTAAAAAAAGACGGATATGACGTAGAAAGTGTCGCCTTTGAATGTTTTTATTTTGCACTTTTCCCACTTTTTTATTGAACAAAATACATTAATTTACATTTTCAAGTAGGAATCAATCACTTTTGAATGTATTCATAATATTAACTACTTATCAACAAAGTAAAAAACCTCAAGGTGACATGTAAAAAGCAGCAAACAGATTTAAAAAAGCTTAGGAAGGTAAAAACAATAATGCAAAATTAATCATACTTTTACAGCCACCTTTAAAATAAATATGGTAAATGGCATGTACTTATATAGCGCCTTTATTCAAGTCAGGAGACTTGACCAAAGAGCTTTACACTACATTCATTCACCCATTCACGCACACACTCACACACTGATGGTGGAAAGCTACATTGTAACCACAGCTTTCCTTGGGCTTACTGAGAATATATTCAATATCTGAGTTAAGGAAGAGGGCAATAAAAATTTTGATTTATAATCTCTCTAATAGGAATGCGCTGGATAAAACTTAGCTACATATTAAAACAGGACTAATCATCCCAATTAAACAGCTATATACAGACAAATATATGCAGTGTTATGTCTACAGCCAGATAACTCTGCTTGAATGCTGAATGTCTTCCAAAATGGCCAGAAGTGAAATTTACAAACCCTGCAGGCACCTTTTTAGCAGAACGCAAAAGACGACCCTCATCTAAATCCACAAATAAAGGTGACTGAAGCTATTCATTGCCCCTTAGTTTAACCAACATGTTGTTGTTTTGTTTATTGACTGAAGTTAATATTACTGGCGGCCCGACCAAAGTCCAGACTTAAATCTAAAAAAATATGATTCCTTTTTCAGAGTTACATATGTTATAAAGGTTCCTGTCTAGTTTCCCATGGAAACAAAGCTTTTTGATTAATTAAAACTATTTAAACCCAATTTTCATATATATTTTTTAGTTATTTTAATGTAATCTTATTAATTAAAATATACCAATACTTTTAGTGCTACTAGTATACAAGTCAGCCTTTTAAAAGTTGTAATGGATCCCAATGCATATAAAAATATACATGGCAGATTTTCATTGAAAGTAAATCATATTTAAATCACATTACGGTACTATAATCCTGTTTAGACATTCATGTAGGATACACAAAAGATATGGAGGTTCTTCACCAACATTTGAATGTGAGATATAAACAAAGTTGTTGAGAAGAAGAAAACCCAGATATTTGAGACTGATCTGTAAAGCTTTAAATGGTATTTCAAAACTAGTTTGGGGGCTAAAAAGCTTTTAAAAAGTACAGAAAACCATTCGCAGCTGAGCAATACCTAGTTTGCCTGCAGATCTTGTGCTTTAAAAAAAACGTGTCGTCGGCTGTAAAACTGAATGAGGGGAGTCTGATGTCGCTAAAAATATAGAAGATGGTTTGTTTCTTCTAAAATCTAAGATTCTCTCCATTGTTTTGTTGTCATGCATGATCAGATGATGGCTCCTTACCATGCAACAAAGTGGTTCACCGGCTCCTTGTACTCAACTTGTTGTCCATCTTTTATTCCAGCTTTTTTTTATCGTCAATGCACTGTCACAAGTACAGATCAACAAAATGAGTTTTTTGCATCAAACCTATCCCCTTGGGGAGCAGTGGGCTGCAATTGTGTGGCGCCCGGGGAGCAGTGTGGGGTTATGGGTCTTTTGCTCAGGGACCCAGAGTAGCAGTGGGCTTCAAACTCGGAACCTCAGGATTCCAAGCTCTATGCCCTAACCACTAGGCTGCCACTCCTCCATCTCTGATGCACCCAATGACTGCAGACTCATTTGAGTATTTCTGCACATGAGGAGAGTCTGTCTGGAACTGGAAGTCAGAGTTGTACAGAGTTAAAGGGAATGGAGAGAGTGCTCTCCCGTCGTGCTCCTGTTCTGCTGAAAAGTTGATAAGACAGCTGACCCTTCAGTCCAACAAACTGTGGTCAGTTTATCAGGAAATCTTTGATCCAGGCGAATGTTGGTGCCTCCACCAGTCTTCTGGAGTTTCTGACAAAGTAAATCAGGCTGAATTGTGTTAAAGGCACTGGAGAAGTCAAAGAACATGGTCATCACAGCTCTGTCTGTCTTGTGTAAATGACAGTGGGTTTGTTGAAGCAGGTGTATGATCTTTAACTCTAACTCCGTGGAGATATGCAAACTACAGGCGATCCTGACAGCTGCTTGTTTGCTCAGTTGGACAACAGAGGCCAAGACAATATTTATAATTAAGCATGACCAAAATCAAACTTTTCATTAGACTATGAATGTCAAGTCTTGCCACTTTAAATAGCTTTTAATAGCTACAGTCAGATCTAGACATTTTTCAGATATAGGGATCCTCAATGAAGGGAGTGAAGCAGTGTTGAATTGTTAGACATTGTGTAATCTGTATCACACAGAAACCCTTTGTCCCCATTTATTCAAAAATAATTTCTACAAACAGCAAAAAAACAAAAACAAAAAAAAACCTTAAATGTGAAAAATTCTGTTCATAAGATCAGGTGCAGGTCATAAGACACTTGGACTTTGATATGTTTATTATGTGATTCTCTGCTGCAACATTGTGCTGCACTGGGATGAATATACCCCAAACCCTTGAAAAGTGAAACATAGATTCAAAGATGTGACATTATAAAGAGCTTGATGTTAATGAATGAAATCAGACTGACGAGGGACTCAGTTTATTATGCCAACAAAACAATGATTACAAAAAATGTGAAGTGCTTGATCGTAAATTAAAGTTTTCATCTGCATATATTCCTACACTGCAGGATTAAGTGACTATTTTCCATCTGGTTAAGAAACTAACAACGTCGTCTGCCATTTCTGATGTACAGCCCTTGCCACACTGTTAATAAAGAATTACAAACAAATATGGTAAATTTACTTATGAATTTAAGGTTTCTCCAGTTAATTCCACTTAAGGAAAGCAGTTTGTATTTCTAAGGCAGATGTGGGTTTAGTGTTCACTCCTTCTTGTTTCCCCATTTGGCCATCTTGTTGTTGACAGGAGTCTTCATGAATCTGTCCGACTTCATGTAGGCAGCAATTTTCTCAAGGGCCTGTAATGATTAAGAAAAGTAATTAGATCCTATGCCTCTGAAGAGTGCAACTAAAGCAATCCATCATCTCCGGTTTATCAGACTGATGGTTATTTACTCAAATCATAAAGATCATTTCAGACAAGCCAAAAAGAGAGGAGCCCTCTTTAGACAGTGCTCTCACCTCGAAACGGTCCAAAAGGTCTTTGAGGTTCTTGAAATCATCCAAGCATGATGGATGAAACATCCTGTGTTGATCCAGCAGCTCATACATGATGAAGTCAACAAAGGTGATCTATTGGGGGGAGGACATTATATAAAGAAAGAAGCACATAGGGTATTAAGGGAAGGATAGACAGAAATTAAAGTTTGGGTTAAGAGGTAGATGGGAGGCAATAAACAAGCAAAAAAACTACACAAAGAAAGGAATGAAAAGGGATGAAAGGCAAAAAGGAAGAACAGGAGGCCTATACTTCCTCCTACTGGTGTTAATGTGTAACATTTATAGGTGAGCTTGAATAAAACCAGGTGCATTTATTCTGTCATTTCAAAGACAATGGATTCCTCCAAGGAAGGATTATTATTGTCTTTCCAATTCCAAGTTTTCAATCTACTTCTATAAATGATACACTCAAACAGGTCAGAGGTTTGTCGACAGAGATTGTGCTTGAAGATATACATAAGTGTGAAACTAATCAGCCAGAAACTGGCATAAAAACAACGACCAGCCAATGCAAAGCAGAAGAATTACTGGTGGATCAAACAAAAGGCCATAGAGTTGGTTTTACAGCTTCAAATATAAATTCCAACGTTGTTTAGCAGTGCAGGGATCCATAAACATGATAACATTTTAACAGATCACCTTTATTGTAAGATGAATAGTCAGATTTGAGGAATTTACAGCTGCTGGGAAGCTACTGTATAACATGAAGTAGTCATACAATAAGATGACTTACCTTATCGCCAGCAAACCACTTCCTGTCTCCCAGGAAGTCAGAGAATCTCTTCAGAGTATCTGGCAGTGAGGTGAGGTACCCTGGCTTTATCTTGTCCTGATTTTATGAAAGGGAGGTTGGCTTTATCCATCATGAATAAATACTGTGAATAAATGTTTGAATTATTAACTTACAAGGTCAGTGTAGCACATCCTCACAAAGCCGTTTCTAAAGTCCATGGACTGGTTCTCCAGCACGTCCACTCGGACTTTTTCATCCTCGGTCTCTCCACCTGTTTTCACCAAAGTTTAGAATTAAGATTTAAGAGAACAAAACTGTTAAATTAAGAAAACAGTGATGGCTAATGAATTACAGATAACAACACTTACACATATTGTGCTTACGAGCGATGTACCTCATAATGGCATTGCTCTGCGTTATCTTCCTGTCTCCATCCACCAGGTAGGGCAGCTATGGTGTGGGATTAAACTACCATCAACAAAACCCTTAAACCTGCTACCTGGTAAAAGGAAAACAGTGTTTTTACTTACATTGGGGAAGTCCATTCCAAGTTTTTCTTTCTCACCAAACCAGCAGGTTTTGTCATAGTCTGGAGCTATGGGACAGAAAAGTGACCGATGGATGATATCAGAAGCTTTTGGTAGCGTACGAACATGCGTTCATCTGTTAGC